GGCCCAGTGTGGCCACAGGCCCTTAGCAGTGGCCCGGGGAGGCGGAGGACGAGAGCAGGAGAAAGAGCTGCGAGGACGGAGGAGAGCCGGGAGCTGCACGCGCCGGCACTGAAGACGGGAACTGGGGCAGCCGGAGCAGCCGTGAAGATGAGGGGACTGACTCTCTCCCGGAGCCTCCAGAGAGGAACACGGCCCAGCCCACGCCTCCATCTCAGCCCAGGGAGACCCACGCGGGACTCGCACCTGCAGAACCGCAGGAGAATGGCGCGTGTCGTCTCGGGCCGCTGAGGTTATGGGAACCTGTCCCAGCAGCCATGGCAAACTCACACCTCGTGCTGAGCGGTTTCTGACACCAGAGTCAGACAGGGAGTGTAAGGAAGGAAAACTGCAGGCCGAGGCACCCACGCACACAAATGCAACAATTCTTAAAAAAAAAAAAAAATTAAATTAACTCTAATAATGTATTTTATTTAATTTTTTAATTTTTTTTTAGACAGAGTCTTGCTTTGTTACCCAGGCTAGAGTGAGTGCCGTGGCGTCAGGCTAGCTCACAGCAACCTCAGACTCCTGGGCTCAAGCGATCCTCCTGCCTCAGCCTCCCGAGTAGCTGGGACTATAGCCATGCACTACCACGCCTGGCTGATTTTTATATATATATATATATTAGTTGGCCAATTAATTTCTTTCTATTTATAGTAGAGACGGGGTCTCGCTCTTGCTCAGGCTGGTTTCAAACTCCTGACCTCCAGCTATCTGCCCGCCTCGGCCTCCCGGAGTGCTAGGATTACAGGCGTGAGCCACCTCGCCCAGCCTCTAATAATAATGTATTTTAAAAATATAATAATTCAAGACCAGACTGGATTTATCTCAGGAACTTAACATTAGAAAATGTTAACACACCGCACTTAGCAAAAAAGCAGGCAGGCCTGTTTGCATCTCAATATGCAGAGGAAGAGACTTGGTAAAATTCTGCAATCATCCACACTAAAAACTCTTGGCAAACAAACAGGTGCTTCCTTAAACGGACTGGGGTCATCCAGGAAAACCCTACGGCAGACCTCACGCCAAATGTGACGGCCCCTCCCCCACTCTGTCCCGGGTTGTACTGGAGGCCAACGTCGCACAGTAACACGACGAGTGAGTGAATGAGTGAATGCATGAATGAGTGAATGAATGGCGTAAGGATTGCACAGGAAGAGGCCATGACACCATCATCCGCAAATGCTGCGCTGTCAACACAGAAAACTCCACCAACTGTCAGCAGGAGTAAGAGCACCTAGCAAGGTGGCCAGAGGAAGGATCAATACAGAAAAATCAAACGCCATTTCCTTATTCCACTCTCGAAAGCTCATAAAACATCATTTTTAAAGTATCATTGACAATGGCAGCAAAAATATACTGCTCTTAAGAATAAATCTAATGAAAGACACAGAAGCCCTCTATAAATAAAGAGACAGGCTCTGACTGACGGAAATGAAGAAGATCTACGCAAAGAGAGAGCTTCCCGTCACGCCGAGGAGCAGCCAGTACGGAGAAGGTGTCAGTTCTGCTCCCCCTGGCGTGCAGATTCGCCACCTTTCTCATCAAACCTCGACGGGCTCCGTCAACTTGTAGGATGCTTCTCTACCTATCCGGAAGACCAACAGGCCCGGAGTAGCCAAGCACCCCGGAGAGCAGGAGGGGAGGGGACGGGTCCTCTCCGATGGTAACACTCATCTTCGTCTACAGAGACAGGAGAGCGCCGGAGCAGACGGACAGACCCCGGCAGAAGACAGCCCAGAAACAGACCCGCACGTCGTGAAACGGGACGCAGGATGGAGCTGGCACCCGGGGGAGACTCCACAAACGGCCTGAGACAAGCAGCTCCTTGCACGGGGGACAAAAAGAAATAAGATCCCTACCTCACACCTAGCACAAGAGTCAATTCCAGGCGAATTAAGGACTTAAACGTGAAAGGCAAAACCTATTTTAAAAGAGATCATACACAATTATGTTTATGATCTTGAGGAAGGTAAAAAAATTCTTAAACAGGACATACAAGACACTGTCATAAAGAAAAACAGTATGATTTTTTGACGACATTAAATACAGCACTTTACAAAGAACTTTATAAAGAAAACTAATGACAAGACGTTAATGTAAGCCACAAACTGGAAGACATCTGACCCTAAAGCAAATAAAAAGATCACTAGTGAACCAAGAAATTCGAAGTGAAACTACAACGAGATACCATTTTACATCAGCCAGATTGGCAAAAATTAAGAAGTCAGGGCCAGGCACACCTGAAATCCTAGCACTCTGGGAGGCTGAGGCAGGAGGATCATCGCTTGAGGTCAGGAGTTCAAGACCAGCCTGAGCAACAGCGAGACCTCATCTCTATTAAAAGTAGAAAAAATTAGCTGGGCAACTAAAAATAGAAACAAAAAATTAGCTGGGCATAGTGGCTAATGCCTGTAGTCCCAGCTACTCAGGAAGGCTGAGGCAGGAGGATTGCTTGAGGTTTGAGGTTGCTGTGAGTGAGGCTGATGCCACGGCGCTCTAGCTGGGCAACAGAGGAAGACTCTGTCTCAAAAAAGGAGGGGGGGGAGGCAGTCAGATGTTAGCAAGCGATGGCAAGGATGGGGAACAGGAGCAACACTTATGTGTCTCTGGGTGACTTAGCACCGGCCAGCCCTCTGCAAGGCGACTGGAGTTACCTGGCACAGGGGAACATTCCCACGCCTGAGACCAGCAACTCCAAGCGGGGTGGATACCCCAGGGGGAAGCCTTGTGCACACCGCCAGGATTTGTACACGCGAATATCTAAACAGCAGAATGGACGGGCCAGGGCCGGCGCATTCACAAGGTGGAACAGTGTACAACGCCGAGAGGGACGGAAGTGGGTACTATTCAGGATGTCGGCACGGATGCCGAGTGCAAGAGGCAGACTGCAGTGAAAACACACGGTAAGGGACTATTTACTTCAACTCCAGAAACACATACGGCTCAACAAGACAGACCCAGAATCCTTTATCCGAAACCCTCGGCACCAGGTGGTTTTGGAATTCACAATTTTTGAAATCTGAAGAGTAATACGGTGCATATACCATCTTATGTAACAGCAGACCCCACGGTCAGATGCTGATCTTTCTGCAGGAAACTGTGTGAATATTCACACGGAGTAGGATAAAAACCGACAACGGTCTCACGTTGGTTTGGGGCAGATTTTGCCGCCAGATGAATTTTTACAAAACTCACTTTGGTGTTCAGAGCTTTTGGATTTCGGAAAACAGAGAAGGGCTGTGGGCAATTACGCTCCGAGAGCCACAGGCCAGAGGCCCGACATGGAAAGCAAAGAAAAAGCAAACTGAAATTCTCTTTGCAGAGGCCGGGCGCGGTGGCTCACGCCTGTAATCCTAGCACTCTGGGAGGCCGAGGAAGGCGGATTGCTGGAGGTCAGGAGTTCTAAACCAGCCTGAGCAAGAGTGAGACCCCCCGTCTCTACTATAAATAGAAAGAAATTAATTGGCCAACTTAAAATATATAGAAACAATCAGCCGGGCATGGTGGTGCATGCCTGTAGTCCCAGCTACTCGGGAGGCTGAGGCAGGAGGATTGCTTGAGCCCAGGAGTTGGAGGTTGCTGTGAGCTAGGCTGATGCCATGGCACTCTAGCCCAGGCTACAGAATGAGACTCTGTCTCAAAAAAAAAAAAAGGAAAAAAATTCCCTTGGTGGGAGGAGAGGATGAGAGGGACATGACCACTGAGGGTGTCAGGGACACGGAAGGCTCTCTGGCACACGCGGGTGGGGGCACGCCTGTGTTGCCTGGCGTCCTTTGTACCACACGTGTGTGTTAGCTCATATGTTTGAACTACAGTGAAGCAACACTATAAATATATACATTCTTGAAACGCAAAAGGGAGTGGGGTGGAGGATGGTCGCCGGGGGGAAGGGGCGGAGCCGGGTGCCGCTCGAGCAGGGAACCGCTCCAGCCCGGAGACCCGGGACGGAGGCAAGGGCGCCCGTCTGGGGTGGCGATGAAGAGTTCACAGGATCTGGTGGGTTTTGAAGATCAGCCACAGATGCTCTGACATCCTCCCCAAGAGGTGAGACCCACGTCCCCTCCCCCTTGAATCCGGGAGGTCGCGGTGGGGCCCTCAAGGCTGGGTCATAAAAGGCCACTGGGCTCCCACCGGCTCTCCCAGAGGCGGCTCCCCAGGCCCCCCGTAGGGCCGCGCCGGCAGGCTGCAGAGCCCAGCTGCGGGGAGGCCGTGGGGGGGGGCTCCCCAACCCCCACCCGAGCCCAGCCTCGAGCTGTCCCAGCCCTCGCCCCAGAGACGTGCTCCAGAGACATGCTCCAAGGAGATTCTAGAGAAGCATTTTCTGTTGAGGGCCACATAGGGGACAGGCGGCCACACAGACCACGTGGCAGCACGGCACGGCACAAACGGCAGTCGCGCACGAGCGAGTGGATGAGCGCACTTGTGTTCCGGAAAGCACGTCATTCACGAAAACAGGCAGTGAGGCTGATCTGACCCACAGGTCGGAGGTTGCCACCTGCTCCCCCCCTCCAAGTGACTCCAGCCCCCAGCCATTGGGGACCGCCCTAGTGATTCAAGCCCCCACCCCTCACCTGAGGCCCCAGACACGATGGAGCACACCGGGGCCATCCCTGCCGTGCCCGGTCCCAGTCCCCGCCTCTGAGTCCAGGTGGAACACAACGGGTCGTGTTTCACACCGAGTCAGGGAGGCTGCTCCGCGGCAGTAGCGCACAGGGACACGGCCCCCCGAGACCGTGGCTCTTGGAGGTCAGGCCTGGCGCTCAGAGCCTGACCCTGGGGCCGTCAGGGGTCCTGATGGAGGAGCCCGGGAGCGGGGGGAGGAGGCGGGCAGGGGGGGCAGGGAGGGCGCAGGGAGAGGAGGGGCCTGGTCTGAACTGGAGGGAACCCTGCACGGAGGGGCGGGGAGCACGGGTGGGCCTGCAGGGGAGGCTCTGCAGGGCGCGGGGAGCACGGGGCCTAAGGCAGGAGGTCAGGGAAGAGGGCGGTTCAGGGAAGCGGGCGTGGTCGCCTGATGGAAGCAAAGCCGCCCACGGGATTCCAGCGCAGGTGCCCACAATCGGCAATCTGGCCCTGCCGCCTGCTTCCTCTGCCACCTTGGGCAAGTTCCTTGACCCGCTCTGTGCCTCAGTTTCCCCACCAGTAAAACCGGGATGACTGATTCCCTGCCTCCCGGAGCTCCGTGAGGAAGGAGGGAGCTACCTGAGCCTCTTCTCTGGCCATCTGTCATTCTCTGCTTCTCCACCTGCCCAGGGAGGCAGACGGGGCAGACTCCGCTACCCCGATGACGTGGGGCCCAGAGAGGCTCCGGGACTGTGCCCGGGACACACAGCCACCTGTTGCTTGGCGTGCAGGCCCCGACCTTCCTGCGGAGGCCTGGCGAGACCTGCGGCCTCCACACGTCTACCCGGCTGCTGTGCACGAACGCCTTCCGGAGAGAAGATAATTATTAACCGCGGAGGCTTAATGAGGAGACGGACCTACAAGGCTCCCTAATACCAATAATTTGTACCTGTTTAAGAGCAAAGGTGTAACAACAAAGGCGACTGGAAACTACGACATCACATGCCCCATCTCCTGCCTCCAGGTGAGCGAGTACAGCTGTCAATTACACCAGCACAGAACGTTCCAGAGCTCCCACACCTGCCCCAGCTCTCACTGGCCGGTCGGGAAGAACACCCAGGGCGAGAGAAAGGAGCTGCCGGGGAGACCTGAGATGGGGGGACAGGGCTGGGCCCAGGAAAACCCGGCGTCCACACGGCCCGGCAGCCCCCCGGCTGCTCAGGGCCCAGCACGGCCAGTGGGAGGGGCCTGCGGGGGCCAGGGCCGTTCCCTCCAGCCCAACCCCCGGCGGCAGCTGCCTAGGGCCCAGGCTTCCTCCAGGGATGGGGGGGTGTAGCAGCCACCCCTCCTGGTCCTTCCTGAAATGTCTCCAACTCAGGGGCCCTGGAATCCCTTCCAGAGTGACTTCACTGAGACCTCTTTTGAAATGCAGATAGCACTCAGAGGCCACATTAAGCCCTTTGGTGGGTTAGCGCCCCAAGTCGGAGCAGAGGACAGCTGCCCTCGTGCACCCTGAAGGCCCCTGGCCACTCACCGCCACCCCCGCTTTGGTCAGGCAGAGGGGTTCTGCCCCCAGTGTGCCCATGGCCACCAGAGACACTGCAGTGGGTGCTGGCGGAGGCTCCACCCAGGAGCCGGGGAAGCCCGGCCGCTGCCCGTGGGCGCCAAGTCCCGGCCTGAGACCCCTGTTAGCACCAGGAGGGCAGCCCTGTGACGTGCAGGGACCCTTCCCGCCAACTTAGCCAAGGGCCAACAAGTCATTTTGTTTGGGGAAAAAGATCAAATATTGGCACAGACGTCTATTAATTCGCAGCTTACGTTGTAACTGCTGAGAACAGAAAAACCAGGATCTTTTTCTAGTTAAATATTTGCTAAGAAAAAACTTCCAGTCCTGAGTTTCAAGAGACTGCTTTTTAGCATGACGTTAGAAGGGCACACACACGTAGTTGGAGATGATTAACTAGAAACTCTCGTGGAAGGAGTTCGGGAGAAAAACCACACAGCTAGCTCTCCCTGTGAAAACGGAACTTCTAGCAAAGGGAGGGGATGTGTGTTTCAGCGTCCTTTGTCTTTATTACAGCTTGCACGGTTTTCTGTAGTTGAATATTTTAGTTTTCTTCTTTCAGGCCTCACCCGCCCAAACCCCAGATGGTGAGAGTTGCTTCCAGTGTTCAAAGACTGGACAGAACTCCTTCTCACCTTGCATTCGGTTCCACGGGAAGACGGGCCACTATCCTGACGCTGGCTCTGCTTCCTCCTCTGTGGCTTTGTCTGTGGCCCCCTGTCCCCTCCCCTGAAAATAATGAGCTAGAGGCTGATTCTGGAGCCAGCGAGCTAGAAGGTTCCAGCAAAGGCTCAAACTGCACTCGGCCCAGGTGCCGGCAGGCCACGCATGGCGAGGTCAGGGTGCAGAACCGCACGTGGCCCACGAGGCTGGCGACCACGTCCCTCTCACAACACGCCCAGTGTCTGAGTGGCTCCGGCTGCCAAGGACCGAAAGCCTGTCCCAAAGACAGACGGCCGGCAAGGCTCCGTTCCCACCGCCACCCACGCCGGTTTCGTGGGGCGAGTCACCGTGACCTTCCACGTCTGCGGCGCCCACCACGGGCTGGGGAAGCGGGCACGCGCTGGGGCGGTCGGCGGCGCCTCCCGCAGAGGGAGGGAGGGAAGAGCGTCCGCTTTCCGAGCCAGCCGCGGCTGGCGTTCCCTGCTTGTGTCGCTCACTACGGCGACGACACACCCCACGGGCCACTCTACTCAGCTCTGAGTACAACCTAACCTAGCGTTTCGGGGACTTTACAAAGTCACGCACCAGGACGCGGTCCATCGAGACTGTCCACAGAGACTCACCCGGGCGGCAACCCCGCCTGCCCCTCCGCGCTCCTGCTTCCAGAGGCCAGGGTGCACACGGGCTGGCCTCGGCCCCCAGCCCCGCAGGAAAGCCACGGGGTCCGCGGGCACCTGCTGTGCCTGGTCCCACCCCGGCCCTCCTCCACTAATGCCGCTGCTCACACCCACACTCACACCCCTGCTCACACCCACACTCACCCCTACTCACACCTACACTCACCCCTACTCACACCCACACTCCCCTACTCACACTCACACCCACACCCCTACCCCTACTCACACCCACACTCACACCCCTGCTCACACCCACACTCACACCCACCCCTACCCCTGCTCACACCCACACTCACACCTACCCCTACTCACATCCACACTCACCCCTACTCACACCCACACTCACCCCTGCTCACACCCACACTCCCCTACTCACACCCACACTCACACCTCTGCTCACATCCACACTCACCCCTACCCCTGCTCACACCCACACTCACACCCACACCCCTACCCCTACTCACACCCACACTCACACCCCTGCTCACACCCACACTCACCCCTACCCCTGCTCACACCCACACTCACACCCCTACCCCTACTCACACCCACACTCACACCCCTACCCCTACTCACACCCACACTCACACCCCTGCTCACACCCACACTCACCCCTACCCCTGCTCACACCCACACTCACACCCCTGCTCACACCCACACTCACACCCACACCCCTACCCCTGCTCACACCCACACTCACACCCACACCCCTACCCCTACTCACATCCACACTCACACCCACACCCCTACCCCTACTCACATCCACACTCACACCCCTGCTCCCTGCTCACACCCACACTCACACCCACACCCCTACCCCTACTCACATCCACACTCACACCCCTGCTCACACCCACACTCACACCCACACCCCTACCCCTACTCACACCCACACTCACACCCCTACCCCTGCTCACACCCACACTCACACCCCTACCCCTACTCACACCCACACTCACACCCCTACCCCTACTCACACCCACACTCACACCCCTGCTCACACCCACACTCACCCCTACCCCTGCTCACAGCCACACTCACACCCCTGCTCACACCCACACTCACACCCACACCCCTACCCCTGCTCACACCCACACTCACACCCACACCCCTACCCCTACTCACATCCACACTCACACCCCTGCTCACACCCACACTCACACCCACACCCCTACCCCTACTCACACCCACACTCACACCCCTGCTCACACCCACACTCACACCCACACCCCTACCCCTGCTCACACCCACACTCACACCCACACCCCTACCCCTACTCACATCCACACTCACCCCTACCCCTGCTCACACCCACACTCACCCCTACCCCTACTCACATCCACACTCACCCCTACTCACACCCACACTCACACCCACACTCACCCCTGCTCACACCCACACTCACACCCCTGCTCACACCCCTGCTCACATCCACACTCACACCCACACCCCTACCCCTACTCACATCCACACTCACACCCCTGCTCACACCCCTGCTCACACCCACACTCACACCCACACCCCTACCCCTACTCACACCCACACTCACACCCACACCCCTACTCACATCCACACTCCCCTACTCACACCCACACTCACCCCTACTCACACTCACTCACACCCCTACTCACACCCACACTCACACCCCTACTCACATCCAAACTCACCCCTACTCACACCTACACTCACACCCCTACTCACACCCATACTCACACCCCTACTCACATCCACACTCACCCCTACTTACACCTACACTCACACCCCTACTCACATCCACACTCCCCTGCTCACACTCACACCCACACTCACCCCTACTCACACCTACACTCACCCCTACTCACACTCACACTCACCCCTACTCACACTCACACCCCTACTCACACCCACACCCACACTCACACCCAAACTCACCCCTACTCACACCTACACTCACACCCCTACTCACACCCACACTCACACCCCTACTCACATCCACACTCCCCTACTCACACTCACACCCACACTCACA